CCCCCCCCGCCACCAAGTTCTCAAGTCCCTCAAAAGAATTTCATTGTCAGATGCATTGTATGGCCTCGAGTAAAATCACTCATGATTAAAATGTGGCAAGACAGTGAAGTTCGATTTGACACATCATTATCGTAAGTTATATACATATTATTATTAAAACGGAATCGTTAGCGTGAAAGAAAATTTGATTCTAGTGATATGCAGATGCGATGTGGGGAGCTTCTGATTGACAGACTCGATATGATCGAGGATACTAAGGGCAATGCCGGTGACCAAGGGCGACTTCTTGTTTCTAATTTGCGTATAATGTGGCATTCATTGTCATTACCACGGATTAATTTGAGTATTGGATTCAGTACTATCGTCAATGTATCAACAAAGGATGTCAATATTGTGCGTTAAAAACTTTGCCCGAATATTAATTTAAATGAAGAAATTAACCAATTTACATTCTAGGTACATGGAGGTATTGTTCAAGCACTTCACATTTTAACAGCATTCAAAAATTGTAGGTATGAATTTATTTTCACCAATCTGAATATCAAAAGTACCAGGCACTACACATCAGTCATCGGAGTTTATCGGTAATTAATTATGGAAATTCAATAAGGATATATAAAGAAGAAATAAAAAGTTAACTGAACGCTCTTTCAGCGCGTATACATCAACAAAAATGTATAGAGAATTAAAATTGAGAGGTGGATTCATTCATGATAAAAGACTAACAACATTTCCATTAGAAACTGTTAATAGTACAACTCCAGGTGTTTGGAATCTGTCCACGGAACAGGTGAATGATCCCTATTAATCGTCTGGAATTCCGATAATCAATGAAAACGCATTGTTTCAGGGAAATGTAGGAACGTTTGTAGTAACAAACGTTCGTGTAGTTTGGTTCGCTGATATGAATCATCAATTTAATGTGTCTTTGCCGTATTTAGTAATGGCCAGTGTAAGTTTATTTTATCACACAAAATGTTTTTGATTTTAATACTAAAGATTAGATAGATTCTATTGTAGTATTATAAACAGCATATAACACATATTTTTCTTTTTCTTTTTTTTTCTCTGCTAGGTCAATATAAGAGCCTCAAAATTTGGGCCAACATTAGTCCTAATAAGCACCGAATCGAGTGGTGGATATGTATTAGGATTTCGGGTCGATCCGATCCAAAAACTTCATATCTTACATAAGGAAATTACGACAATGCGATCTGCATACGAGAAATCTCCCATATTTGGGGTGGAGTACACCTTTGAGCATGAGGTATATTAGAAGAATTTTTTTTTTTTTTTTCACAATGAAGAACACGATCTATTCCAATATTGTTTTCATAATTCTAAGGGTATAGTGGAACCAGAGATGAAGGAGGCCGATACAAAAGAGATGCAGGAAAGTGAAGACGAAATATCAAATGTTTTTGGATTATATTTCACGAATGACAATTCAATCCAGAGGAAACCTAATGTATGTTCTTACCTGGGGCTAGCAGCTGAAGAGCCACGAGAGGGAACTTCTCTTCAAGGGCTTTGGGAACTTCTTCCAACCACATGATGATAATTAAAATCCAAATGAAAAAAAAAAGTAATTATTATTATTATTAATATTATTATTGTTATTATTATTTATGTTTTTTTTTTCCTTTTCGTCTAATCTCACGTGTTTTCAAGAAATATATAATTTATTCACTAAAGCAAAATGCGGTAGAAACGAATTTTATGTTCGCTGTATATCGATATATAAATATTAATTAACATCGATAATTAATCAAGGAGCCTCAACAATTTCAACTTCTTTCACAGATTGTTGTTACATACTGATTTTTATGCTCGGTGAGGATGATTGAGCATAGGTACTAGCGCGGGCTGGCCTAGCTTGTTCGACAACTCGGTGGGTGATGAAGGGGGGATGAATCATTTTGTTCATCACTAGAATTCATTCCTGATTGGTTGGGAAAACGATATCCCATACTCATTATCATCAGTTCGAATGGATCACTGTTCATGCGGACTTGATTCGCTGAAGCTGCTTCGTACATCTTTTGAATTACTCGATCATTTACAATTCCGTCCTGTTGAAAAATGAATCATTAGAAGTGTTAAAAATTGAGTTTAACTTGATCAATCCATCATTGGATAATTACCTCGGGTAATGGACTCCACAGCCTTATAACAGGATCAATTCCACTAGTTGCTAAAAGACACAATGATGGATGGGGTTGAAGACAATTGACAATCCTCTCATCTCCCCGTAGAACCCTAACAATATTGGTCGTTACACGATCCCAGATGAAGAAGGAACCGTCATCAGAACCAGCCACTATTAACTGACCATTACTGTAATAACCAATACGTCAATGTACAAAATTATTATCCACGCGCTGATAGATAATGTGTTCAGTCTCTTACCTTCCGAAAAAATTGGCTTCTTTTATATCCGTTGTGGTATTGCAGTGACCGCAGAATCTTTGTTTATAATCGATTGCTCGACGCCTCCATTCTTGTTCATATGATGACACTTGTGTTAAGTAGGAATTGTTGATAGTTGTTCCATTATCTGATTCTACAATAAATTGAGTGAATAATTTCAATGGTAATGATTATGTAAGTACATGAGTAAATGCAACTTGATATCCTATGGCAATTGATAACGACTTATTATTTGATATTTTTTTTATTTGTTTTTTTTTGTCGTTGAAAAATAACAAATGAAAATTTCAGCACAAATTAAAAATCAACTCAATTGCAAAAAAAGCTCTAGTGGAGTTGAAGCATTTCGCTTTATGCCAATTGGTTAGCCATTATTTATCTTTCATTGTTTTGTATTTACCGGAGCTGATGGCGTCTTTGATGTCCTTTTTTAGCGCTTTATGAGCGACATTTGAGTTATATTCTGGATATTTTTCCTGAAAATCTTGGATAACTTTATAGGCTTCTGTTGGACGATGTAGATCATTAAGACATCGAGCCAGTCTAAAGTGCGCCTTGACGTGATCAGGATCCAAGAGCAGAGTTGTCTGGCAGTCTCTGAGGGCTGCATAAATATCACCATCCCTGTAGAGAATGTAGAGAGTGTTTATCTTTGAATATTGGTGCAAAAACAAACAAAAACCAAAAAAATAAAAAATAAAACAACCAATTTACTCTTACCATCTTCTTTTCATATACGTTGCAGCCCTATTCGCATGCAAAACCGCTGCCGTTGGACAGATTTCAATGGCTTTGTTGTATAAATTCACAGCATACGTGTATTGCGCATTTTGAAATGCACAATTTGCCTGAAAAAGACAATATAAGCAATTGATGGATTTCATTCCATGATTATACCAAAGCATTATGAAATTTGGTTTTTTCTCTTTCTTTAATACCTCCTGCTTTAATTTTTCAACATCGTCTGATAATTCAGAGGTATTTAATAGCATAAGATGAACCTCTGGGTCAGCTCTATCGACTCCATAAGCCAATCTCGTAATTTCCTCATCATTCTCTTCACAGTCTGGATGATTGGAAAAATAACAATTACAATAATAAATAATGCCATGATTAAGTGACAAGAGGCAGAGAAGAATTCGTTATGTGCTAAAAAAAATATTCTCATTTTTTTCCTCATAGTTATCACCTGACGATTCCAGAGGTATTTGATAACTTGTCGAGTTTCTATGCCTATCAATATCGAAGAGATAAATCTGTTCGCCTCCCATATTTACAAGCAACTCATTGCCATCATCAGAGAATGTCAAGTAGGTTGTAGCAAAATTTCGTTCACTATATCCCATCTGAGGTGACCTCAAGTGACCTATTAAAAATCAAATATAGTTTAATAATCCTAATAATAATAATAATAATAATAATGAAATTTTCATCAACATACCGGCGACAAAATATTGGGCACAGCCGAGAGATACATTGCCATCTGGATCTCCTTTGCCAGCTGTATTGTGATTTAATCGTGATAAATCATTTTGTCCAGAGAGATCCATTGGCATCTAAAAAATATCATAAGTATTAGCAAAATTATTTTCAATTATTATTATTAGCTGTAGAAAAAGTTATTTTCCTACAAACCTGCCCCAATTTAATCATCCTCCTGTCATACATTCTCACATAAGGATCATTAGCACCAACGGCAATAATCTCAGGCCTCCTTGGGTTAACAGCCATACATTTGGCTTCTGCTTTTCTACCGGCATGATTGACTAAATTAATTAGTACACTTCTATGATCACTCGATTTACAATTGTGTTTGGTTCTCATGTCATACTGGAGGATAAGACCGTCCTCCGCAGCACTCCAAAATACCGAAGGCACATTCTCCAAGGTAGCTATTCGTTTGACACGGCCAGTGTGACAGGTACAAATAAATATCGTATTGGATATCGAAACGTCGTGAACTCTCACTCCATTATCACCAGCACCAGTCACTAATATCGAGTCATTCGATTCAGGCATAAACTTTAATAATATAAAAATTATTAATAAAATTAATATATTTTGACAAAGGATAATATTTGTATCCATCAATACATTGTTCATAATGCACATTACCTTTACTGAGAAGATATTTCCATTATGACCCGTATGAACAACTAATTTCTTGTGATAACGAAAAGGATCCCAAAGGATGAGATGCATATCGTCCGATGCCGAAGCAAGCATCCTACAAAATTATGCCAAATTTATTATTAAATTCATCTATACAGTATTGTTAATTGGAAAATTTTAACTCACTCTCCAGTTTTATTCCATTCTAAACAATTTACACATCCCTTGTGTCCCTCTAATTCCTTCTCCAGACCCAATCGTGAAATTAAATTGTCTGTCACGTGAAGTTTACGACGTACAGTTCTTGCCAGTGATTCCTATATTTCAAATTAAACTTTAATGGCCATTTTTTATGAGAAAAAAAAAACAACAACAGTGTAATCATTCAATATTCAACATACAAGAAATTGAAGATATTCATTACCAAAATACTCACATGAGTTTCCCTCAATCTCAACAACTCAATCAGTCTCTTCTCTTTACTAATCCCTCTGCTGAATGATGACTCCATATCCATATATTTCCTTACTCGACAATCGTTAAAATATTCAAACTCCCATCGATCTGAATCACAATAGTTATTATATTTTTATTTTTAAAAAATGGTATTTCGTGTCTTCTATTTGTGTACGTTTCAGATCAGATATAATACGTCTTTACTCCTTCTAGATACTCGAGACGTCATTCACACACAACAAAACACAACACAACACAATCCAATACAATATATATGTATGTACACATCAGTTCATATAATCCAAATAAAAATAAATACACCTACCAATACTTTTACTTTGATTATTCTCAAAAATTCACAAGACATTAATCAATCACAATTCTTCCTCTTTTTTTGATTTTTGTTATACGTATCCACCAACTTTTACAAAAATCGTCTCCTCTTGACAAATTTTCCATTAATCATTTATTATTATCCATTAAAGTCATGAGTTGACACACTAGAGTCATCGTCATCAACAATTGATATTTATTATAATATACGTATACGTATATGTATACATATACATAACAGTATAGTACTAGTTTCTTTCAAGCTCCAAACATTGTACACGCAATATGTAAAAAACAAGAGAGAAAAAAAAACATTTTCAGTGATTACATATCGTAGTAGTATAATACTAACTACATAGACATTGGCCCTCTGATGATGGCTGCCAAAACTTGTTACTGCACCTGACGTAAACTAACCGAAAATTGTAGAAATCACCGTAATAATTACACACCAAAATTCAATGGTTGTGTTGGTATAATCCAGCTGCTATATAGCACTGGCCAACACCAACATGGCCGCTTGTGTAAGCAGTGCCAGTGCGCAAAATTATGGCAAATGTGTACACACGAGGGAACAAAAACATAAATAGGAAAAGACAGTTTTGTGGAAATCCAATAAAAGCGAATGAATCGTAATAAGCTAAAAAAGCAAAAATGATTATTGTTTTTTTTCATGTTTTGTATCTCCTCGGGAAATTCATCTACAGGAATTATCGAGAGGATGATTTCGGTGAGAATGACGAAGAGAAAAACAGTGGCGAGGTGGTTGTGGTGATGGATTCAGCATGTGGTGTTGAAGCGAATCAGTTAAATAAACAAGGAGACCAATTGGATTTGTATGATAATTTTTATGGAGAGGATGAATTTGAACATATCAGATTCACGCCACCGGCTTACATTCAAAGGTATCATGCTGTTGCTAGTCTTCTCGGTGGTAAGGAGTTTGAGGGACAATTTCGAAAGGTATATTTCTTCTTTCAATATATATAATAATATAAAATGTAATAGCTTGGAGTTCTTGTTTAATTAATTTAATATTTCCAACACATTTTATCCGCACAGGTTGTGGATTTTGGTTGCTCAGAATTTGGATTCTTTCAACATCTGAAGAATACAAGGGGAATAGAAGAGATTTTATGCGTAGATGTTGATAAAAATACTTTGGAAAAGTATAAAGGAAGAATAGAACCCCTTACTTCAGACTACTTGGCTTGCAAAAATGCTCCGTTGAATGTACATGTACTGGAGGGTAGTGTTACCGATAATGACCAGTGTTTGGAGAATACTGATGCAGTTATTTGTATAGAATTGTAAGAATCACATAAATTTATCCAATCTATGATGGAATACCTTTTTCCAAGATATAATAATAATAATAATAATAATAATAATAATAATAATATATTCCAATCATTTTCCTATTTTAGAATTGAACATTTGTATCCAGAGACTTGTATAAATCTTCCATTCAATATCTTCGGTTTTATTCAACCTAAAATTGCAGTATTCACAACTCCCAATGCCGATTTCAATGTTTTATTTAAAGGAATGAATGGATTCAGGCATTGGGATCATAAATTTGAATGGAGTAGAGAGCAATTTCAAGACTGGTGAGGCTTTCTAAAAATATTATTTGATATTTAAAAATTATCCAATAATAGTGATAATAAAAATTTCGAAAATTGCAAAATCAATGTATTTTTTAATCTAGGGCGAATAACATTATTACAAGGTATCCCAACTACCGAGTCCACTTGACTGGAATTTGTAATGGTCCCCCTGGCTCTGAAGACCTCGGCCACTGCTCTCAGATGGCGACATTTATCCGTAAGCTAGAGAGAATCTTTTCACCAGGTACTCTGGGACTGTTCAAACTCATAACTACAGTACAATACCCTTATCGAGTTGACAATCGTTCGGTAGAGGAGAAAACTCTCCAGGAAGCCGTTTATTATCTTCGCCATTATTCTCTAAATAATGAGGACGAAGTAATGCCATTACAACTCCTAGCAAAATGGATAGATACTGTATCAGTGAATACATTAAAAAATATTCTGGAAAAGGAGGGTTGGCAAATTGTTAATGATAAAGAAAAAGGCTTATCAGCTGTGTGCCCTCCATTATCAGAGTATTCAGAGTTTGACGATAATGATGATAATGATGATTACGATAATAATACGTATCTAAATCAGTGGAACGACCAACCTACTGAACCTCCCTATCAACATCAAGACTGGCCGGAGATTCATGATAAGGATGAGGAAATGTGGGACAATGACGAGAGCAATGATTCATCAGGTCAGAATTTTGAATCTGTAAAGATAGATATGGGTAATGGCGAATTTCTTCAAGATTCTACAAATGTTGCTACAAATGTAGAAAATTTTAATTTTCCTTCAGTGTCTTCAGGCTGTGATCTAGAGTCAATGTTATTTTCAAATAATTCAACACCCAGTACTTCCAAGAATTATGATGGATGTGGATCAATAGCATCTACAGGACATTTATTTTCAATGAATTCTCAAAGTTGTATGAAAAAAAATTGCAACAATTCTGGTCAGGTTTCAATTAATTCTGGAGAAGAAAATTTATCATTGAAGAATAAAATGGATGAGATGGATAAAGACTTGTGTCATTTGACGGCAGTCTCATCATCAACTGCTGAACAACTTTCAACTGATGATATGATATATAATAATGATTCAATGACACTTGGCAGCATTTACAGCATGTACTTAGAGTCATCAACATGTAAGAATGATGAAATTTGTCCTGAGAATATAACAAATGATCCTGATTTTCAATGGTCGAATGATACAAGTATCGGCGATATTGGTAGTTGTAATGAAATGATTCTACAATCATTTCTACCATCTTCCACAAATGATTCACCAAATTTGACTAGTACGCCAATGAAACTAAAGAAAATATCTCAACAAGATGATGATTTTTCACAACAAACTCGAGTATTCGTAAAATGTAATGATTTTAAGGAAAATAATGTAGAGGAAAATGGAATTTTTATGAGTGAAATATCCTCGGAAAAATATCCCGTATTATCATCCGACAGTTGTAGCTCATGTGAGAAAGAAAAATTTGAGGTGATGAGGAAATTAAAAGAAAGTGCATTAATGGAAAATATGAAAAATGATGATAGGACATGTTCAAACAAAAAACAATTTTCATTAAATGAAGATGATACACCTCAACTATCATCAATATATCATGGCCCTGATTCAACTTTTCATACCAATCGTTGTAAAAACACCTATTCAACAACAATGATGACAAAGAGACCATTATCTTTATCTACATGTGATCAACTTTATCAACAACAAGTTGTAGATCGACATGTTGTTGTCAAAGAAATTAAAAATTTTGAGTTGGAAGAGGTGGACGATAAAGCCTCTCTTTCGGAGGCTAAATGTAGCACTCCAAACAGCTGGTCACCCGAGTTTTGTTTGGACTCTGGTTATCCAAACACATCTTCAGTCCATGATATCACACCGGAATATGATTTATCCAGTATTGGACAGGATACAATATCAGAATCGCAGTCTCCAAGTTTTGCAGAACCTCCCCGACAATTGGAGGCTCTTGTTGGGGTTGAAAATGGAGACTTGGTAAATAATAATCGCGATGGAGAGGGGAATAACGTGATTCCTGTGGAGGAAAATCAGCTTGATGAGGAGAGGGAACAAGTGGATGAGAATGAAAATATTGATGCGTGATAAGTCCCTTTTTTCCTCGGCGAATGCTCATTTGACAGTATTTTATTCTGTGGCTGTGTGTCGATTGTTATGATGAGAGAAAATACAAGGCTTCAAAACTCACTCTTCATCCAAAACTCCTCCTCGAGACGTACAAAAAAGCTTGTTTCCCCCCTCTTGAAACGACAAACTATAATTTACCTATGATTTAGCAAAGTTTCTATCGTCACTTCCTCGTTTAATTTCATTGGTTTCTCATCGCAAATATGTCAAATTTTAGTAGTATTGATTTCGTATAGAGTGATAAAAATGAAAATAATGTAAAAATCAAGCTCTAGTAGTAGATTAATTGGAAAGGAATAATAATGATTCTACACAAGACTGAAATGGCATATCTAATTACCTTGATGAGATGAATAAAATAAAGTTGGGAAAAATCCCATTAAAAATACATGTATCTTGTTTTTTTTTCTTTTCCTTTAGTTATTTTCACATACTGTGGCCAAACAGTGCTTTAAAACACAACTGGATACTGTGAAATTTTTTTTAAAATAATTATCATAAAATGCTATTTTTCAAAAAAGATTGTAGTAATTTATTCGTGTTTCTAAAACTGGCAAATGAAATAGATATTTGAGATCCCATTATTATTTCAATAGATTTTCAAATACAGAGATATAACAATGAAAAAATAAATAAATAAGACTTGACGGATAAGTAATAACATGTTTTTTCATTTCGAATAATTACGTATTTTCCATTCATTTTTATTATTTACATACACATATTACTCTTACTCATCATCAATACAAACTATGTAATATCTTGTTGGGTGGATTATCTGTAAACACTATTTTGTGTTAATTAAGTTATTTGTAATTGCTCATTTAATTTCTAATGTTTATTTGTCTCTCTGTATTATTTCGTGCGGCACGCATCTGAAATTTTTACATTAAAGAAGATTGTTGTTGTGCAGGACCGGTAAAGATAAGTAAATTCAACAATATTAATTTTTTTTTTCTCCATAGGAATGTTTATAAATAAGTTGACCAGTATAAAAATATCATGATCTTAACAAATATAGGTAATAGAGAAGATGGAGCAAAAGGGAGAGGGAGATTCATCGATATAGTAATACATATTTTCAAAGTGACATTTCGCTAGCTAATTTGTTTTACGCCATTCTAGAGATATTTTCTTTGTTCATAAGACTGTAGATATATCTGAAAAGTTTTATTTTGCTCCAATAGTCCCTGATGATAATCAGTATTAAGAGTTTCATTACAAAACGAATGAAGAAATTGGAAAAAAAAATCGACTCTTAAACTATGGCACCTAATGACGTTTTTAACGCTATAATGTTTAATTTATTCTATTGTCAAATGATTCTTCGCTTCCATACGAAAAACACAGCATTTTACAACTACCATCCGAGAATTAAATCAAATTTTCTTCATCTATTTTGAATATTGATGAAATACGCGGTTATTTCCAGAAAATTATTATTATCAACTTGTTTATTAATATTCTCAATAGTATTTTACCCAGTTCAATTTATTGTGAGATGAGTTATTCTATGTCATCTCTTCATCACTGAATTATATTCCATGAAGGCATTAATTTAATGAATGAAACAATCAGGCAATCAGGTTATATTTTTCTCACTTTAATATCAATCAATGAAAAATATGAAACATAATTAATGATTTCCTATCATAATATCAATGAGAAATAATGAATTTATGTGGATTAACGATTTGCTAAAGTAGGAAGAAATGTGATACTTTTAAACTCATCGAAACTGTCTTAGACGACATATAAATAAGTTTTATTTTCCATGCTTGATAAACAACTCCATGGAATGCATCGATCATTGATTATTGAAAATTTTGTCAAGTTTACTCACTCAAACAGCCTCTTTAATGCTATCACGGCTCTGTGAATGTATCGTATGTCTTATTTCACCGCTCGGTGCACTCTCACGTCTTATGACACCTGGACTTATAATATCACGTTTATTAGTAGCTTCTTTTATACTTGATAAAGTTTTACTTAACCAAGGCCATGTATTTCGGGCTGTCTGGAGTTCTGAGGCTGTTGCATGAAGCTGATGAGTTAGATCCTGGAAACAATTATAGTTTTTATTTATTTATTGAATAATGAAATATTCATTCAAGTCAATAAGACTATGAAAATGTTTACCTGATTTCGACATTCAGCTTCAACATGCGCCAATTTAGTCTGTGCTAATTCAAGCTCTAGTTCACGAACTCGCTCTTGGGTTCGATGCAACATTGGATCAACACGAGTCTCAAGGGGATGAGAAATCATATCAGTATACACGGTTGACGAGTCAGCAACAGAGCCTCTGCATTTTTCACATTTTGAAATTTTCAACTGGAAAGAAAAAATATGGTTAATTATAAGGCTTCACTGCTGTCAAGTTTTTCTTACCCTCAAGTCACTCAAGGCAGTCCTAGCTGAGTTGTAGTCATCCTCCAAACGTTGACATATCTAGAAAAGAAATGATAATTATAATTTAGTAATCATGTGGCAGAATGAAATACCTACATAAACTATACAATGATATATCAGTAAAACTCTAACAATGTTGATTAACACTCACCTGCTTATACTCATTAATAATAACAACGTTCCTTCTACTTTCGGCATCAGCCCTGGATACTTCTCTCTGTAACATCTCTTTAACTTGCATGAGCTCAGTCTCAAGTCTTTGTTTCTCCTCTTCATTTCTCCCAACGACTATTCGTAGCTGTTCCAGTTCGTTACTGTACTCGTCTGCATTCTCTTGTGCCTCTACAAAATCGAGAAAATGACAAAAATAAAGGAAAAAATTACTCCCTATATCACTTTCAACTCGATTAACCAATTCATTAATAATCCAATGGATCCTTTACTTTGCAATACAATACTCGCTGCGTGACTCATTTTTTTCATCGAATCAAATTTTCAATGATTTTAGTCACTTCTGTAAATGTCAGCTTTTTATCAGTCAAAAATTCAACTGATAAATCAATCATTGATATTAATTATTTGTGTTCAATATACTGACGGGATATTTATTTTCACGATTACAACATACAGGCACACGTTTCACTCTGGTACATTTTAAACTTGGATCAGTTGTGTTACACAAGCACATCCATATACATATATGTATGTTGTATATATTCATGTATGCGATATCAGCGTAAGTAAAATACATTGTATGTAAGAGTGAGATAGTGCAAACATAAAACAGCTGTTGAATTGATAGCACGTGGTGGTTAATAATGACAATGGGAGTTTTTATTAATTTTTTTTTATTTTTGGTTTGATTAGTGTCTTAGAGATTAGAGAATTACAGAGAATTCATCTTTTGTTTGATTTGCTCGAAATAAAATGAACTGGATTTTTAACACTTTTTTAGTTCAAGTAGGGAAAAACAAAACTACTTTTTTTTCACACAGCAACATACACGTTATTGGAAAAAAAAATTTCTCTTAATATTCTAGTGTTGAGAGAAAAGGTAAAAAAAATTTTGTTACTTGTGTTCATATCAATTTATCAAATTATCTCATTGTGCAAATTTGTTTATCAACAACCATTACTCTTGCACAATGATTCCAATAATCGACAATACAAAAGCTTTGTTTACATTAATCGTATAAATGAAAGCAGGACTAAAGTGGGTACAGAAAAGAAGTGAATAAAAACTATGAAATTATTTAATTTAGGTCTTTGATAATTCTACTTTATTAATTATTCATCTTCTCATTATTACTATTATTATTATTATTATCATTGGTTTAGACAATTTATTGATAATTATTTCATAGTATACTTGAGTTATTTCATGTTTTGTTTTTTTTTTCCAATTATGCAAGGGAATACAATGCAGAGTGTGCAATCATTGGAGAATTTGTGCTGATCCTCCAGAATTCCACATCAAATTCGATCACTATGCGCCTAAATAATAATGATAACAAGCACCCGACATATAATACAATACTTGAGATACATTTGCAACTGTAAAACATTATATATATTTTTTATATGGCAAATATACAATGAAGACTAGATCGGTCAATCAGTATCATGAATTAGTACAAAAGAATTATTATCATCAACTGATTGGATATCAAAGGTACTATTTAATCTAAGTACAAAGAGATAATATGAAAATAATTTTTTGCAAATATTCAAACAATAAGAAAATGATAATTTTGAAGTAAAGTGATGAAACATGTCAATTTTCATCTTCTCCTAACTGTAGGAAAAAAAGAAAAAAAACAAGTGATGCTACAAAATATATCATTCTTACATTTTCTCCGAAAAAACCCTCTCACAAAGAGATGATTCAACATTTCACGCATAAAAGGTGAACAATTTACCTGTTCTATTTCCATCTCTTGACTGTAAAACAATTGATACAAATATCGACATATTTTGCGGGGGAAAAAAAATGAAAAGGAAAAATCAACAAGAATCATGCAACGTGTAGCTAGCTCACTATTTTCTTCACTCACTCCCATTATTCCCCGAGTGTTGTTTTGATTTTCTTCTTATACATAAAAGATAAAATTACCTTTGAGGGTTGTGAATTCTGCCTCATATTTTTTAAGTTTCTTCAAAGTAACTGAGCACGCGAGTTTCATAACGTGACGTGATACATCTTCGCTGCGACAACGTTTTGGCAGATGAACGCGAAAATATTTCAATATTGATTCGAAATCTTGTTGAAGTAGTTCTTTCTTGCATAGCTGAAAAAAATGAACATTATTTTAATGAACACGGTAATAGAGAATATGACATAGTTTAACTTTACCCACTAATTTGTAACTAATAATCATTACCGTGAGCAAAGCAAGAGCGACTTGAAAAATGGTATCCAATCCTTGTAGCAAAAAGACATCAAGAATATGGAATACTAGATAGAGAGGAAATCGTGCTGTGAATAGGGTGAGAAACCACTGTGCTGCGAACATGTGAGTTTCGACACCGAGATCAAAAAAGTGTTTGTAGAGTTCTGGCAATTGATCCTGGAAGAAATTCATTCCATTATAATTCCATGGAAGTAAATATTGTTTGTTTATTTAAAAAAAAGCGATGCATGGAATAATTCTAATGATTACCTCAATTAAACGATTGAGCTGATAAAAGCGCATATGAAGATTGTCAAATCTGTCTTTGTACAAATCCCTCAAACCATAATTGTACATCAATTTAACTAGAACACAAAAGGCTTGTTCTTCTGGCATCTGCAATGAAAAAAAATGGAGATAAAATGGATGGAAGACAGCAACAACTAATGTTGTGGATGTGGGCTTTAAAAAAAATTAACAAAAACATTTATACTCACATGTAAAAGAAGGCTTGCAACGAGAAAACTCAATCCCTGACAGTAACCAACTTCTTCATCATATGCAGCATAAGCTTTACTGATTCTATACAATGAATCCTGTCCCAAGCCTCCGCTTTCTTTGAAAAAATCATGAGCTGGAAAGGTTCGGTTTATATCTCTAAGGATAACACTTTCACAACTACTCTCCTATAAGAAAAAATATAATTTTGTTCCCAATTTTCCAACAAGTGGAACAAAAAATAAATAAATAAATAAATAATGTTACCTTGGTAATGAGAATCCTGTACTTATCCATCATGTCTTGTGAATTATCACAATTGCTCAGCCTTTGCCAGACCTCGCCCCTCAGTGCCTCAGGTATTCCCTGACGTGTCAATTTAATGAGCAATTTTGGACGGTGTTGGTTAATTTGCCAACTGTCAAGGACCTCCTTCCAGCTAGCTAGCTCATCCACTGAGCAATACTTGGAAACCTCGCCAGTACCACTGAGCATTGGTTCATCTCCATCAGAGTCAATCTCCTCTGGTTGATTGGGTGTTAACGTATCAATACTAGTCAAGGAAGGAGATCTGATGAGTGAGGCCAGATTGAGAGCCAGATTTAATCGATTCCGGTCTAATTCGCCAGACGTTTCGATGCTTTGCACTTCGTAATGTATCTCCTTGCCATCAGGTGAGATAATTTCCTTTGAGTTGAGTTGAAATTGTTGGACGAGATTCTTCTTGACTAAATACCAGAATCTTTCATTCTGAGGATAAACCTTGACAGCCGTTTCAATGACAAATCTAACGGGTTCTCTTATTCCCCTGATAACTAAGTCAACAGCAACGGTCATATAGATCTTGCCCTCTTTTGTCTCATTGTTTAGAGTTTCGAGGGCTGGATCAGCAGGATCCCAGCTTCCAGATATATTGTAGCACTGCTTATCTTGGCCCATTGGAGCTACACTAGATTGCATCTCCAACAAACGCATATCTGAATGTTTAACATTACGACCTGGACTGACTAACACTCCAAAACACCTCTCTACTTCGAGAGTTATTCCACCCTCCTTGCTGGATACCTGTTGGATACTCAGACAGACTTGTTTGGCGACATTGCTTCGGAGTTTGAAACAGCTTCTGTCCTTTGGTACTGTGCTATAACTTCCTCTACCATCTTCCTCTTTTACCTCCATTGTCACCTCAAAGATGAATACTCGCGAATTGCTTCGCTCGGCTTGATTGAACCCATTGTTGAAATCTGTACTTGTTTGAGAACTTGTCATCGATCGTGGGATACGTTGGAAGGCTTTTGCAAAACAAGCCGAGACTTGTCCAACCTCATAATAATAATAATAATAATAATAATTACATAAAATATCAAATATTTCCACCAACAAATTTCATCACAATTATTAATATACTAATAAAAAATCAACATTTCTTACTGCTTCCGGTATGTCACAACGAAATACGTGGCACTGAAATATGGCTGACTCTTGTGTATCACCGTGGGACCATGTGAAGGCAAAACAAGCAGCACAGCTACCAGTAATATCACCACGTACGTAAAATAAAATTCTCTGGACCTCGTAATAGGCCATTGCTTGTTGTGTTCCTGCATCGTAAAGCCTAATGACAAGTGACAAGTGACAGTGTAATATTAATAATTAATTTATATGTCTCATTAAATTTCATTAGATTGCTAAGAATTTTGTATAAAAGATGAACAACTTACACTACCGAACCCTGAGAACTGCTAGGCACAGAGACTGAAACTTTAATCTCAAGATTGACAGTCTGTTCAGCTGATAGAATTGCCATATTCCTCTGGATTTCAGCCTCAGATTTGGGGGCATTTATTGCAGCAGACCCAAGATAAGTTACTCCATTGAATATCGTGCAGTCCTGGTGAAAATCTGCCATTGTGTTCAACTCTGTGCATTCCGGAAGAAACAAAAAAAAAACTTGAGAAAATTGTTCTCTCTCTCTCTGAAAATATTCATCACAAAACTCACCATAATCTTCATAATCATCTGGCTTCATTTCATCCTGTTTTTCAGTGGTTACCACATCATAAAATTTACTTTGCCCCACTTCTTTCGTTCTCTGGATGGTACCATCAATGATCTTGACGTCGCCAATACTATCCATTTTTGTGTCTTCAGTTAATACCTCTCTTAAATTATTTTGGAGATCTTCTAAATTACCATTATTGGCGATATTTAGCATAGGTGGCTCGAGAAGGGCCTGTTGATTTTTCGATGATCCTTTGTCATTCACGAATTCATATTCATCGCTAGTCGCCACTGATTCCATCGACTTTACGCTCAAACTATCCTCCATAACTTGACCCTATAGACAATTATACTCAATTATTGATTTTTTATTTCCAGGTAAAAATGAGACATAATGCATAAATGATCCATGGAAAAGACACTGAATGAAATTATTATTATTATTATTATTATTCAACATCCAAACTAAATTATCATAAAAACAAAACAACAACAACAACAACAACTATTGGCCATCGATATATTCCCCAAGGAAATGTTGGAAGCAACAAATTGCCCATCTTTCTTACCAATGATGTCAATACGGTGTCACATTCGCTTTTTTTTAGATCATCTGGATGACATTATAGCCCCGCCTCATCATCACGACTCAATTTTCCACTCATATCCTCAGTGACAAACTGGATCTCTGATTTAACAGTGTTGTCAGAATCCACAAATTAGTCTATCCACTGAAAAAATCCAATGATACACACAATTCAAATATTCTATACCTAGGTCTCATCAGTGTAATAATTGAGGGATTGAATTGAGGAAAAAAAAAGTGATGCAAAAAATTACGTTGGAAAATGGCTTTGGCAATTTTATACCACTCAACCTGAGCTCAACCCAAATTACCTATTGCTCTTACATTTGACATCACATAATGATGTTTATCAATTTCTCGTCTTATCGAATCGCCTTTTTATTAGTCCTTTTGGTAAAAATTACAGGGGCACGACAATCTGACAGACACTAATATTATACATATAAGCAGAGCTACGGCGTCCGCCATTTGATCGGTAGTCACATGTATATATAATCAATAATATATATGTACATACATGTGGAAAACCGCCAACTCATGCTAAATTCAAAAAGCAATCTGTTTTACATATCGAAAATACAGAACATTTAATGAAAAATCATTGGATGGGTAATTATTTAATTGTGAAATAATAATCCAAGAAAAGTAACGAGAATAAGAATCCCCATTGAAAACTCTTTTCTATCAAATTGGCATGCATCATATCACATTTGATATGTAATGAAATGAGATTAGGCAAATTTGTATCCTACCACTAAACTGTGTATGTGAAAAAATATACATTCGTTACATCTCAACAACAAGTACCAGGCACTTTTTGTACCATTTATTTTGACGGCGGGGCTTGTTTTGGGGCCCTTGTCGATATGTCAGCCACCAATATCACCGACCAAACAACGCCATAGTTTATGCTCGGTAAAAAAAAAGAGAGATGGTGGATGTGCGAAGCAGAAGCAGCCAGGCGATGTAATAAGCGTCGTAAAAATAAATTAAAACATCGTGATAAATAAAGGTTGCTGCAATAGCGAGGAGTATTCCACAAACAATCAACTGATTTACAGGTGGATTGAAAGGTATGTAGCCATCAACTTTCATCTGTCTGCGTATAATCGAGTTTGGGCCTCTCCATACTACTAACCAAAAAATATATCAATGCAACGCTACATTCAAAACGCCAATCCAAACCTCTTGGTTCCTCTTTCTCCCTCTGATAATTCACCGCCACCGCTAGCCACCGCTCTTGGAAGGCTCTATCACTAACCTAAACTTGAATAAATCATATTTTTCCATGATAAATATGTCTCCGAGAATAATAAAATAATATCCTTCAACGCACAATCATTTCAAATGCAGAGTAACAAATTAATGTTTTAACATGATATGTCCTCAAAACTTTTACTTGGTTAAATTTACTTAAAAATTTATGATTTTTTTTTCATTCCTAATTGTTTATTTTCTATGGAGACTGAATGTTTTTTTTAGACAAAAAATATTACATTGAATGATTTGACCATTGAAATTGTAATATTAAAGTTATCCCCCAACGAGCATGATTTTATAATGCGATGCTATGATTATTATTATTATTATTATTATTATTATTATTATTATTACTTGGTCCGCGCCTGTGTGAATATTGGGCCTGGCTTTAATAATAATAATACTAATATAGAATTATAAATCTCTCTCTGTCTGGCGGGATGTTTTACCACTTGCACGGAAAAAAAATTCCAGGAAAATGCGTCGTAAAAGTGAGCGTAACAAGGGCAAGTCATCTCCGGAGAAGAAACCAGAGAAACCAACCCGTAAATCGAACCGCAGACGTGCAAAAAAATCACCATCTACATCCCCAGAGCGTTCAAACAGCCCCGAGGGTGATGGGCTAGCCGCCGAAAAGGAGCCCAATGTTAACTTCAAAATTCAGTCCCGTTTATCAAGCAAAGAAACCCCGGAAACGCTCGTCGAAGAGCCCGAGTCGAAAGTGTCCTCAACAGATCAACAGATTACGGGTGACCTCGACGATGGTGGTTGCGTATGGAAAGTAGCCAGGGCTGACGCATCTCCTGGCGAAATACAAAAACTAAAACTCTGCAGACAACGCAATCTCTCAGAGACATCAGATGCATCATTGAGTAGAAAAAGAGTAAACAAGTGGCATGAGGGTGAGGGTATCGCTGAGGAGGCTGACTCTGCTGACGAGAGACCAGCAACGTCCAACGATAAGACGGATTCTGGTAATATTGCATTGGCCGATGATACCTCCTCAACGACTGACAAGGATAAGGAAAGGCAAAGGGAATCTGGCGAAGAGGTAAGTGATAGCAAGGAGATGCCGCCTGAAACTACAGTCGACTTGTCTGATGTAAAACCAAACATAGATCAAGGACACGCTGAATCTCCGGAACCTGAACAACTGGAAACGAAAGCAACTCAACGAAATGAGGATGATCCTGACAATTGTCAGGTTCATGGTGATGATGCTAATGTTTCGGAAAATATCGAGATTGCACAACAAGAAGAGGAACAGCAAGCCAAGCAGCAAGTTGAAGACTACTCGAGGACGTCAGAGAAACAAGATGAAACAGAAGAGGATGTGACAGATGTAGATGTGGAGAAATCAATAAAATATATAAAAAAAGATGAAAAGGAATCTCAGGATGACGATGTTGATACCATTCGTCAACTCACTGATTCTGTTCATCAATTTGCTAAAGATCCTAGCGATGATGAGGGAAAATCAATGATTGAAGAGACAAAACGGAGAAATTCCTCCGAGAATTCTAACGATGAGAGTGTTAGACCTTCAAGAACACGTTCTGTTAGAAGAAAGCATCGTGACAAGTACCGGGATTCTTCTAATTCTGATACAGGTGAAACTGAAGAGGACGAGGAGGAGGAAGACCAAGTGGAGAAGGAGGAAGAAGAGGATGATGAAGATGTAGAGGAGGAGGAGCAGGAGAAGGAGCAGGAGGAGGAAGAGGAAAAGAAGAAGAAGAAGAAGAGTGGAAAGAAGAGTTTGGATGCTGATAATAACAAGGTTAAAGGCAACAGAGAAAAGTCACCTAGTAAAGGAGTCATGGAGGTGGAGGAAAGCAAGAAGGATGACATATGTGAGGAAGAGGATAAACTCGAGGTGATAATTTCTTCTACAGTGGAGAATGATAAAACTCCTGTAAGAGAAGTCAAACAGCCTAATGTTTGCAGACCAGCTAAAGTGAATTTAAAGAGGTCTTTGTAAGTATTTTCCCCCACAAAATTATTCTTTTTTTTTTTTTTCATTTTTTTATCATTTGAATTTTATTCTGAAAATGGAAATTGTTACAGTACTTCGAGAATATCGACAGAAGAATTGAAAAAGGATGATGCTGGCTCGGCAAATGATGCCAGTCAAGATAAGGTAGGTAAAGGATGATTATTAAATTATTGTAGAGCTGCTTTTTTTTTTTAATTTTTTTATTATTATTGTTGAATTGTTTTTCGTGTGTTTTACAATAGGAAAATTACGTTGCTGATGAGTCTAAAAGCATTCCAAAGAGACGTCGTTGGGGTACAGCATTCAGTACAGATATAGCACCTGTATTGTCAATTTCAACAGATTCTCTCAAGGTACTCTCTCACGCAGACGGTTTATTGAGTTATCTTGATTTTTTAATATAAAAAATTTTAGGCTTTAGTACCTGGTGCAAAACCCCTGTCAATAAACGAGGTTCGTTTATCAAAGGATGATGATGAGGATCGTAATCGTCGCAAGGACAAACGTCAAATGGCCAACGATGAAGATAAATCAAAGGCAGACAGCGAGATTAAAAATGATACTTTGAAGGATAATCATATAGGTAACCACTGTTATTTATTTATTGGTCGATGGTTCATCAAATGAATGGTAATCAATGTTGAATTGCAGGTGCACGACGAAAGATATCAATTGTAAAGGACACACCACAGTTACTCTCCCCAAGTCCACCAGTTGCCCAGCCTACCAGTATCTTGTTAATCAAAAATCTAGTTCGACCTTTTACACTGAATCAAATAAAGGAACTCTTGTCGCGTACAGGAACCATTGTCGAGAATGGATTCTGGATCGATAGAATTAAATCTAAATGCTTTGTAGAGGTAGCTTGTACTTTCTTTCTTTTTTTTTTTTTCCACCAAATAAGTTGAGCACCAAAAAAAAATGTAAATAAAAATTGTATTTTTTTCAGTATGCTAATGAGGATCAGGCGTTCGAAACACGACAGGCCCTTCACGGAATATCATGGCCAACGTCCAATCCTAAGAAAATTCAAGTCGAGTACTCTGTGAAAGAGGAAATGGAAAAGGCTAAGGAATGTTCCAAAGATCAGCCTCTCTCACGTAAATTGGAAGCCTCTTCTGGGGCAGACCCATGGCAACAGGACTGGGGGCGTAATGAAAAATCAAATGCTACTACCAAGGTATAAATCAAATACAAAGACTTAAAAATCATAAATTGAGTTATCCATTGAATTAATTTATGTTGTCTCTAGGTAACTGTTGTGAGAGAATGGGATTTAGGTAAAGAAGATGGTCAACATCTCTTGCTAAAGGATAAGGAGAAGGAGACAAAAGATAGGGACAAAAAGCGAAGACAACGGAGTCGCAGTCCAACTCTTGAGGCACACCTTCCAGCACCTGCGAGGAAATTCAAGAAAAAAGAGGATGAACCTCCACCAGCCAAACTTCTTGATGATCTTTTCAGGAAAACTAAAGCTACACCCTGCATATATTGGCTGCCACTCACTAATGAGCAGGTTTGTAGCTTTAAACTGATAATTTTTTCATCTCTTCTCTTATCTTTTTCCCCTGGATTTAAAACCACCTTCTACTGAAATAAATGCAATTATTCATTTTCAGATTGTCGTAAAGGAAGAGATGCGACGACAACACATGGCCGAGCACGCACGACGGCTCGAAGAGATGAGACGTGCTGAGAGAAATCGTGATGGTCGCCGTCGACGTAGTCCCAGAAAATAAATACACCTACCCTAACCAATCAATTTTTATTTCACAGTTTGTTCTTTATTCGTTCAATCTTAATTCAATTTCCTGACACAGCTTCGATACTTCTTTAGAAGCTAAATAAAGACACTTGTTTCATTTTCATCATTCAGTTGTACAAAAACAATTTTACTCTTCAACCAAATTCAGGCGGAATTATGCGTTTTCTCTAGACGTTCCTTTATTCAATCCAAATAATTAAAATTAATCAACTTCACTTACTAGTTCTGACGATGGAAATTTTTTTTTTCCAATTTTGTTTTTTTTTTTTTCTAACGAAAGAAATTGAACAGGAAAAACATAGAAACAAAAACAAAATGAAATATCGATGATTATTTCTTGTACGAACCCAATAAATATCTTGGGGATTATCGCTCACACTACCATTATCCTGGCTCCTCATAATCAAAGCATTAAAAAATCCTTCTTGCAGGTCTTCACAGTCAACAAATGTGATTCAAATTCATGAATCTCAGCATCACCAGTCAGCAGATTATGAATTTACAATGGATTGTAGTGTGCACACAACGTGGGATTATTATTACTATAGGAATAACTACTTGAAAATTGAAATAATACAAATGTTTGACATTTTTTCATTATTTTCGATAAGCCCATCAAAGAATATTGTGGTTGATATGTTATTCGTTCGTAAAATCGTGAAATGAAATCAGCCAATAAATTGATAAGGCAGCAGACTAAATTAAAGTAGGGATTTACAATTATTTGAGGAGCAATATGATATGGAAATTGGATGAAAATTTATTATTGATATATATTGTTTAACTTTTATAATGACTACGATGATGAGCTGAAATACCTATTCTGTGAATTTTTCATTATAAGTACTGAAAATGAAAAAGTGTACAGTTGCCTCGTAACAAAAATGAAAAAAAGAAAAGAAAAGAGAAAAGGAAATTGTTTGATTAGTTTGAAAACAGATGCAATACTGCTAGTGTGAGATTACGCAGTGGAAATGACATAATGAAATTCTGCTGCGTGTATACCTCATGTTCTGCTATATGTAAAATTATAGAAATACAATAAAGTGAATATTGGAAAGTACTTTATTTAATTTTTGTCTTGTTACTCCTCCTATTTTTAAAAATTAGTTTAGTCATTTACTATTCAATCTTATCTCGAGGGGATTGAAAGATTATTTCAAAAGTGACATTGAGGTGACTAATAGGTGATCAGTATAGATGTGGCTACCATTTCTCATATTGATACGAGACTTGAGATGATAGTTTAGAAGAGACCTTTTTATCATGTACATTTTTTTGTAACACATTAATTTTCAATTTTCACACCTTCATAACTTATCAAATATCTTTTTATTTATATTATTCACACTCTTATTTCTACGATGAAACAGTGATTATTTGTTTCATTAATTTACAAAAGTCGACGAATTATAGAATGTGCATTATCATAATATAATATTATCTTTATTTTACTAAAGGTAGAGCAAAAATGTCTCAATGTCACGAACAGCTATATTTGGAGAAACGTAAACACATAAAGAATGAAAACAATTTTAATGAATAGGCGATATGAGCTTAATGGCCGATTTGTACAGAATTATCTGATTTCAGTGGAAATGGAGGAGTAGGAGGAGGAGAGTTTGTTTGTTATTTTCTTCCGCCCTATTATTTATTGAAAATTATTGTGACAAGGCCAATGAACAGAAGGAGAATTCATAGATTTTGGGTACTTTAATCTTCCAAATACTGATTAAAATATGGCCTCAACACTGAATGAGAGGTTTTTTCTTCTTCTTTTTCCACATATTTGATGTTTGAGTTTTTAGATTTTCAATCGACTTTTACAACACTGTAGATCTTTCTGACGAACCAGAAGCAAGCAAAGAAACCAATTGTACCTAGAAATAAAAAGAAGAGAAGAAGAATTATTATTAGGTTTTAGGGTTTTTTCCTTTTTCACATATTACTTTGACTTGTCTGTTAATAATTTACCTGTAAGAAGGAAGAACAGGAATACCATGATGAGTGTATATCCAAAGTACAAGAATGTTGAGGCAGCATCCTCAATATTCAATTTTGTGACGAAAAAGTGTATGCAGTATATTAATAAATAAACAGCTGTAAATCCAGATGTTAGAAAACTCCTCCACCACCAGTGATAGTCCTGTAATCAATGAAATACAATACAAATAATTGCAAATACGTGCAATTTATATTTATAATTGGATATTTGAAGAAATAAATGTCTTGATTATTACCTCAGCACACAGGTGGAAGTAGCAGAGTAGTATCGTCGTCTCAGAACACGTAATGACAAGTATAAGAAATACAAGGAATAGAAATCCAAACATATAGTACATTTGACTAGACCAGAGGGAAGTCAAGATGAAAAAAAGTTGAATGAATACACAACCGAATGGTAGTACTCCTCCCATTACGACTCCGGGTATTGCTTGCGTGTAGAAACTTTGTTCTGGAATTTGTCGGGGAATTTGATTCGTTCTCACTGGATGTTCCAGTGCCTAGACATAATCATGCATGTTATTTATCGCATTTTCAAGGAGTCATTTTTTTTTCTCTTCAAACTCATTCCACTCCATTATTACATGTTGTTTTTGTTTTCGTCTTTCGTTTCAACTTACTCGTTTTCTAAATCCGAAATATGCTCCAATGAAAGTCAATGGCACAGAGACACCAATCCATAAAGCTAGGAGGGCAACTAGCGTGCTGAAAGGTACAGCAGCTGAACTTCCCTTGCTCCACAATACAAGATTGAGGATGAAGAATAAACTGAAGACGATTCTAAGAAAATAAATGCAAAATAATTGGATTAAAAAAAGAAAACTTGTCTTTTTGTTGAAAAATTTCAATTGATTACCCTGGACTTAACATAGCAGTGAGCAAAACGTTGGATTTCCATTTTTCTCCTCCAAAGCTTTTGTATATTCGTGCAGATACGTAACCAGCTGGCGTTCCGAGACATACGTAGAGGACCATAGCACAAGTCATTAGAGCACCCCGATTCGCCGGGGAGAGAAATCCCAAACATGCAAATGCTGTTGATGAATAGATATAATTTCGATGAATACATTTTTTTGCCACCATACAGTTCAATTGTATTGACATGAATGTTTTAAAAGTGAATATTGTCAAATATATCAAATGCCAATTATTAAATCCTTGTTATTTTAATATTCATACGATAATGATAAATTATCTGCATGATGATGAATTTGACAGATAAATTTTAATGGATATTTTTCTGACAATTGATAACACCATAATCCGTAATCAGTACCACCTGGGGGCTATTGCAAGTGAGTGATAATAAATGGACTTTGGCCTCACCCAGTGTGACTAATGTCATGCAGAATACTTGTACACCTGAGCCAAGCAATACCGAGAGCAGCATTCCCTTTCTAGGTGGACGAAACACATCGCCATGTACCAATTTCCATCCAAATTCTTCCTGTGCATCCTCACCAGATTCAATCTGAAAGTAGGCCTGCGTTATCGTAACACAGACAACAGACAAAAAAAGAAGAAAAAAATCACAAAAGAGGCAACAAAAATGTTAATATACCCAGAAAAAGCCTTTAATTGAAAGAGAGACGGAAAATGTCTTTAAAGTTTTGATTCTACGCACATTTTTACTAAAAATATAAAATAAGTGATACTATACCTGATTGTATCTAGCAATATCCTTATGCAGAGTCCTAAGCATGATCATTGCAACCATGCCCGAGAGGAAGAGCACGATGACCAGTGAGTTGAGGATACTAAACCACTGAATATTAGTATGAGGCATGGACTCGAGTATGTAATCCCACCGAGATGACCACTTTATCGTGTTATTCCTGTAATACTTGACGGAATAACTGTACGTGATATCCAGATTTTCTCCAGGCTTGAGCTTCTCATAACGGATCTCCAGTGGTTCTTTGGAGGTGCAATCAAGAGCACGGGCATCATCATGCTTGATACTCCTTGGAGATACCTCCACCGAGATGATTCTCCCGCCCTTCTCACCAAAGGTATTGCCCCATTCCTCAGAACCCCCAGAATGATAAGTGATTTTCAAGTCCACGTGATTAAACAAATAATATTTATTGGGCTTGCTGTAGGCTGGGTTCATGCTGCAAGTATCTTGGAGGGATCGACTCTCGCTTGAGAAGCATCCCATGGGAAACCCTGTTCTCCTGTACTGTCTATCCTCATCTGAGCGGTAACACCAGGTCACTGGCATGTTATCAACAATCCAGTGGTGCTGATAATTCAAGGCCATTCCCTTCTTCAAACGTTCTAATTTCCTCTCGGATTGCTCATCACCACCGACGTATGTCTTCGTGCAGAGCTTCTCGCAGGTCATGTTCTTAAGGAAGGAGAGAGTATAAGGGGAGGGGCGAATTCGTTCGCCAAACACTACTTGACCCAAGTTTTCAACTGGTGATTGGCTTTCATCACCTTTGCAGAAGTCGAAGCTAAAATGCCAGGAAAATTATCTATGTTACTTATTAGGAGATGAATTTTAACTCAAGATGAGTGATTTTAGGGAATAATTTGACAAATTAATGTATTCTCGCCCATTATAATTATTATTAAATAAAAATGTCTAACTATAAACATCACATTTTATCATTTCGCTGCTAACATTGCCCACCCGGTGCAATATCAGCAAAGAACGTGACGAAAATGTCATTCAAATCAATGAAATTTACATTTTACTTACTAGTGATATTCGTAAGGAATCACGGACTCGACTGTATTCAATCTGTTGACATAGAGCTTTATGTCGGACTGAAAATTGAAAAACATTAATATTTATGTCATTACTATTATTTTTTGCCAGAGTAATAAAACAAAAATTATGTTTTTCATAAATTCTCTCAATGATTCACAGATTTAGCTAATCCACACCAGGAAACATGTCCATTTGCAAGCATATTGCCAATTTATTAATAGAAAAAAAATTAAATAAAACTTTATTGTCTCATCTCGTTCACTTGACTACCGAGTTAGTGAGGTTATCAAGGTGTCTTGATGCCTTTACCCAGCCAATGAATCATTAAGATAATTTCTCCACTTATGATATCATGTCATACAACAAATTATTCATAAATCAATTTCAATAGAGTCAAGCTAGGGTTTAATGTAACCTGGAAAAAAAAAAAAAAAAAAAAAACCATGTGTTGACGTGACAACGACCACGACTTTTTATTAAAAAAATATATTTCTCAATATACTAGGGTTAATAAATTTCATATTTTTACTCACTTTACACGTCCCAGTGCCATCCCCAGCTTTACAAAAATTAACAGGTGCCAATCCCGGCAGGTAAAAACTCACAGCACATTTTAATAAACACAAAAGACAGAAAAAAATAAAATTTTTCATGGAACACGCCATTGTCTCTCTATGTAACTACGTTGCAGTTTCAATCGTTGTGTGTTTATTTATAAAAATATTTCACTCAATTCATACACTTGATTAATTTATTAATCATCGGGGTGCGTAATTGTCCATTAAATTTCGACTTTTTTCAATGCACTTCATTAGGGATTAAAGGATCAAACGTCGTATACATACAGCTCTCTTCTCTCTTGAGAGGCAGTTGAGGCATATCATATCACACGATTGCTGCCATGACACGTCACGAACATTCGGTATCTCTCGGGTGTTTCGCGCGCGCCCCGACCGCCTCGACCGCCTCGACAAATGTGTTATGTTCGTGCCAATCCGAATGTCTTTTATCTNAAAAAAAAAAAAAAAAAAAAAAACTCCATGTGTTGACGTGACAACGACCACGACTTTTTATTAAAAAAATATATTTCTCAATATACTAGGGTTAATAAATTTCATATTTTTACTCACTTTACACGTCCCAGTGCCATCCCCAGCTTTACAAAAATTAACAGGTGCCAATCCCGGCAGGTAAAAACTCACAGCACATTTTAATAAACACAAAAGACAGAAAAAAATAAAATTTTTCATGGAACACGCCATTGTCTCTCTATGTAACTACGTTGCAGTTTCAATCGTTGTGTGTTTATTTATAAAAATATTTCACTCAATTCATACACTTGATTAATTTATTAATCATCGGGGTGCGTAATTGTCCATTAAATTTCGACTTTTTTCAATGCACTTCATTAGGGATTAAAGGATCAAACGTCGTATACATACAGCTCTCTTCTCTCTTGAGAGGCAGTTGAGGCATATCATATCACACGATTGCTGCCATGACACGTCACGAACATTCGGTATCTCTCGGGTGTTTCGCGCGCGCCCCGACCGCCTCGACCGCCTCGACAAATGTGTTATGTTCGTGCCAATCCGAATGTCTTTTATCTTATCATCATCATCATCATCATCATCATCACATATAGGTATATTGAAAAAAGCAGTCGAAATGCTTTTGAAAAAATTGGTAGAGGTGAGAATAATTGATGAAAGAGAAAATTTTGTCGAGAATGTCCTATTTATTCATATTAATCAATATTACAAAATTCTTTTATCACTGTAGTCGGAGAACGATTGACAAATAAAGACTATCCTGACATTTTTAGGTAAAGTTAATTATTATGAAGATAATGCGTTTCATCAATATAACAATACAAGATGTGAAATTAATTGAGCGATATTTTTGTTTTTGTAAATTTTTCTTCAAAGCCCCTAAAAATCATGTACAAAAATTCCTTGAGTCTCCCTAAATCTACAAAGTGTAACAATAACACACTGGGATGAAAATTAATGGATACCTCCTCATCACTCATCACTCAGTCCTAATCTTCTTTACTGGTCCAGCAAGCTCATTGGGCCCTTCATCAAAATACCTGGTTATTTGCCCATTATTCCTATTCTCACACTTTGCTGGATTACAGCCGCACTCCTCCGAGCACATTGCCCCATTTTTCTGACACTTGCAGTGATGATTCTGGCATTTGGTTTTACACTGACACCTCAGACAGGTGTCTTCGGCCGAGTCTGCGGACGACCTCTTTGTCCCTTTGCCCTCGGTGCTATGAGGAAATCTCTTGACATTTCCAATGCTCTTCCAACGTTTCGCAAGTGGAGTCCTCACCCAATCTGGATCTTTATCAGGATCATCATTGAAGCTCTCATCAGTCTCGCAGTTTTCCTTCCCCAGATCTCCAACAAATTTATCTAAAACAGTTGGTCTAACACACATTGTTTTTCTGGGTGCAGTTCGACTTTTACTTGCATTGGACATTTTCTCATCCTTGTTGCCACCGACGCCGCCACCGTGGCCGTCCTCTTCCTCCTCCTTCTTCACTTGAATATTCATCCTCTTGTACATGTCCAACTCCTCAAGTACCTGACGATGCTCCTCCAAACTAACACAAGGTGTCAACTCAATTTTCTTCAGTTTAGTAAGCACTGCGTCATGAGCCATCATCAACTCGTCATACTTGTCCTGACCTTCAGACAACTCGAGTTTGCGCTGTTTGTGTATTTGTCCAATCCACTCAAACAAGTATTGACAGACTTGTTTGACTTCTCCAATAGTATGAATACCTTCCAGTCTACTTTTCACCATATTTTCTTGGTCAGATGCCACAATCTCTTGCTGCATATGCTGTATTTTTATGGTACACAGATCCAAATACTCACCAAGATCATTAATCTCCCTCGTCAAATAATCCGATGGATTTTGCTCTGCAGTTGCTTTCAAGTGATTCAAATTTTCAGCAATTTTTTCACGATACTTTAGCTGCATATCCAGTGCATTTTGTGCATCAATTGTCTCCTGGATAACTGCAACCTCATGATTAACAAGCCTTTGAATGTAATCCTTACTTTTTTTCCCTTTTTCCTCCCTACTTGCTCGAATTTTCTTCTGCAATGCAAGAGTTTCTTTGAGTTTTTTATTCATGGCATAGGCCTCTTCCATCTTTCGCTTCATTACACTTTGTTGCTTATTGTGAAGGATCTGAAGACGCTCAATTTGATTCTTTCTCTTACGATCCTGATCTTTGAGTTTGTAAACTTCTCTTTCTCGCAGTGCTTTGTACTGCTGGAATTTGTCAGCTTCTTTTCTCATATCTCTCACCAACTTGACCCTCATCTGTTTCATGCTGTGAATCTCTTGGGTCAAGTTCTTCACCTGTTCGACGGCTTTTTCTTTCGACTTTAAAATCCTGCTCTGTTCCACATATTTCTTGGTCAATTCTGTTATTTTTTTCTCCAATTCCTTCACCTTCTTTCGACGTGCCTCAGCCAGTTTGGCTGATGTATTATTCGCCTGAACATCCTCAAGGTTCTTCAACAGTTGCTCCTTTTCAGCCTGAAGGGCCTTTATCTCATTCTCCATATCCATCTCTTTATCATGTTCATGCTCCAATTGAGAAGAATTTAATAAGAGTTTAGCCACAAGTTGTTCCTTCAAAGCTAATTGTCGATTGATGTTGGTTACTTCTTTGTTACGAGCAGCTTGAAGAAGTGTATGCTCAGTGTGTTCCTCATCCAGAGATGATTCATTGAGAGTACTGTTGATACTGGCATCTTTGACATTTGGATTATCCTCAAGAGATATCTGATGAATTATCTCGGCATCTGATTTCTTCTGGTACTCCTGAATTTTTAATATCTTGTCCTGAATATTTTTCAGCTTCAGTAAGACTTGTTCAATATTTGTTTCATTGATAGCAGCCTGGATGTCGTCGAGTAATTTGTCAATCTCCTGTCTCAATTTTTCCCTACTAGTCTCAGCTATTTCAGCTCTCTCGTGCATTCCCATGAATTCCATTAAATTACAATTCAATTGCTCAGAAAGCTCTCGAAGTTTCTTTTGAAGCCCTTTGTTCTTCTCGACAAGCTCTTGATGCTCTGGAGGACAATTAATGGCAGGAGCTCTCTCGATAAGTGATAATTTAAGTTCTTTAACAATAGCATTGAGTCGATTGATTTCAGCAGCTTTGGGATCTTGATTGACAATTGGTTTGTTCTTTATTTTCTTGGCCCTATCTGCGTATCTTAGGGTGCTGAGGGTCTCTTCAAAATTGTAGTCAGCAGGACTGACGCAGGCAATCATCAAGGTGATGGAATTACCCCCAAGAGAGTCTTGTAAGAGGCGAGTTAACTTGCTGTCTCGATATCCAATGTGGACTGCATTGTCACCTAAATTTGATATAACATTTCCAAGGGCAAGAAGACCTTTATTGATACTAACCCCTTCCTTGAATCTATCACCCGTTGCCTGGGTTTTTTTGCTTCGTTCTGATCCAGCGAGGTCAACCAAGTGGAATTTTGAAGTAGTGGCAGAGTTGGAATCGTTATTTTTTTGCTGGCAGACAGTGAGAGTGAAAATTGCATGGGATCGACTGCTCTGAGAATTCATAGCTGTGGCACCTGTTGCTCGGCCTTGGGAGCCTGACATCAGGCATTGGAGAACTTGTTCGGCGCAGGTCACTTCTCGTTCAGTTAGCCCAATGATTTTGATTCCATTGGTGTCCTCCCGAATGTCCACGATAGAGTCTTTACGTGTCGGCTTGTCAGCTAACAGATCGTAGAGTTGTTCATTGTAAAGCTCCATGAAACCGACAGTTACTTTATATGTCCAGTTATCAAGAGTCTTTTGGCTTATTGTGGAAAAAATGTCCCCAACTGCGCGGGGGATTATACCAGTGGAGAGATCATTGGTGAACGAGTAATTTGTCCCCATGGAATAAGTTTTTCCACTGCCGGTCTGGCCGTAGGCGAGAATTGTTACATTGTACCCTGTAGTCACAATAATCACATTTTTCACACTATTTTCTCCCCTCTCCCTCTCTCTCTCTCTCTCTCTTTACAATTAATCATAATTAATTATTACAAATATCTATTACCTTTGAATATATTTTGCATCATGTCCTTTACTGCCGTGTCGTAAACATCATCCTGCCCCACATCAGATCCAAACACAAAATTATACGTGAAGGCCTTGTCGGTGCCAGTCAACTGTATTTGAGGCTCTCCAGGAACAACGCTGATACAATTTTGGCATCCTCTAGCTACTTCCGAGGGAATTAATGGCCTCACCCTCACAGCCACCCTCAAACACTCCTCAGTCATTTTGTCAACAGCAGGAGCTCAAAGGCCAAAAAATAAATGCTCTAATACGACATGATCAATATAAAATTTTTATAATTTTATTCTTTACTCATGATGATTATCCCTTAATTATTCAATTACTCACCTAATATTCCCTACTTGTCGGCACAATTATTCAAAGAATCATTCAGTGTATGTATAACTCTCTCTCCTCTCCAATAACTGCTGCAACCTGCTGCAACCGCTCTCTCCAAAAGCAGCTACTGTCCAACGGTTTTTTCCTGGGCTTATTTTTAAATTCCCAACTGTCTCAACTGGCCTCCTTCACTCTACTACCATACCAACATGAAGAACATGAAAAATTTTTATTTTGACGACGACGCGCAACCGCGTAATCATCAATGAAGAGAGATTGAGTTGAGATTGGTTGAGGTTATGACAAACATCTATATACTACATTATACACATTGAATTGAGCAATATAATCAAATAATAAATACTAATCATAATAACCATGGAATCAAGAAAAAAAAGGAACGAAAAACGAAAACGCCAATACTCTTCTTCAGACTCTTCCGTAAGTTCTCCCCGATCAAATAATAAAACATGTGTAGAATTTCAAAGAACGACTTGTTCAAGTCCACGAAAATCTCCAAGTGCCTATGACGAGTTTGACGTGGCCAGTCGTACATTTGATCCCAATCACCCCCGAAGCCCTCGACAAGAACCTTTGGATAGAGATGAAGGGGAATTATCTCGACACAGTGATGATGATCCTCCACCAGAGATGCACAGCGATCGCTCCAGGAGAGTTAAAAAGTCGTCACGAAATCATCGAGACCGAAGGCGTTCGAGGAGTACAAGTAGAAGTAGAAATAGAGAGAGACAGAGAGAGATAAGAGATAGAAGGGATGATATGTCGTCACGTCGGAGAACTCCGGAATTGCCAGGTCGTAGGTACTGGGAGCATTCACCAAGACGTCCAGCGGATGACTCCAACGAAGAGGAGCATATTGTCGGAGATCGTTTCTACGGTGGAGCTCCCAAGAGCCGCAAAGATCGAGACAAGGAGAACGTCTCTGAAAACAAGACTTACCGGCTATCAGGAGGTTCCTATCAGGAACCTCATCATCATCATAACTCCAAGAATCCTATTAAAAGTAAAAACAAAGAGAAATCACCGGAAAAGGAGAAGGAGACGCCTGGCATGATAAAACCCAGTGAAAAGCGAACAGTTGATCTTCTGACATCGAAAACAGGAGGAGCCTACATTCCCCCAGCTAAACTGCGACTCATGCAGGCTGAAATAACTGATAAGAGTGGAGCTGCTTATCAGAGGATCGCCTGGGAGGCTCTGAAAAAATCTATTCACGGTCACATAAATAAGGTCAACACCAGTAACATTGGACTCATCACAAGAGAATTATTCAGGGAGAATATTATCAGGGGTAGGGGTCTACTAGCTAGATCGATTATCCAAGCACAAGCAGCATCCCCAACGTTTACTCCAGTCTATGCAGCTCTAACAGCAGTCATCAATTCGAAATTTCCTCATATTGGAGAATTACTCTTGAAAAGATTAGTTAATCAATTCAAGAGAGGGTTTAAGAGGAATGATAAGCCCCTATGTATTTCCTCAGGTACCTTTATGGCACACCTCGTCAATCAATGTGTAGCCCATGAAATTCTTGTTCTTCAGCTGCTGACGATGCTGGTAGAAACACCAACTGATGACTCAATAGAAGTTGCTATTGCTGTTCTCAAGGAATGTGGAATGAAGCTCACAGAGTTATCCAAGAGAGGGGTCGAGGGTGTTTTTGCAGCCCTGAGAAATACTCTTCATGAAGGACAACTTGATAAAAGGGTACAGTATATGATTGAGGTAATGTTCCAGGTGAGAAAAGACGGCTTCAAGGATCATGAGGCTGTTCCCAGTGAGTTGGATTTAGTCGAAGAAGACGACCAATACACTCATTTAATGACTCTAGATGAGCCAGTGGACTCTGAGGATATTCTCAATGTTTTCAAATTTGATCCTGAATATGTTAATAGTGAGGAGAAGTACAAATCAATTAGGAAGGAGATTTTAGATGACGATAGTGATGATGAGGATGATGAGGAGGAGGACGAGGAGGAGAACGATGAAGATGATTCAGTAGATAATAGTGATGAGGAGGCCGATGAGGAGGGGTTGGAGGCGTCGGCGTCGACGGCGGCGGCGGCTGAGGCGGGGAGAGAAAGGAAAGAGGGAATCATTGTAGATAATACTGAGACAAATTTAACGGCTTTGAGGAGAACTATTTACTTAACCATTCAGTCTTCACTCGACTTTGAAGAGTGTGCACACAAACTGATGAAGATGCAGTTGAAGCCTGGACAAGAGATTGAACTGTGTCACATGTTTTTGGACTGTTGCGCAGAGATGAGGACATATGAAAAGTTCTATGGGCTATTATCCGGAAGATTCTGCGCAATTAATAAAATTTATATCATACAGTTTGAGCAGATCTTCAAGGATTCTTACGACACGATCCATCGGTTGGATATGAATAAATTGAGAAATGTTGCCAAGTTCTTCGCGCATTTGTTGTTCACGGACTCTATATCCTGGGGGGTTTTGAGTTGTATCAAGTTGAATGAAGATGATACCACTAGTTCTGGGAGGGTTTTCATTAAGATTCTATTCCAAGAACTTGCCGAATACATGGGACTCACCAAATTGAATGCAAGGGTAAAGGATGTCACCCTGCAGGAAGCTTTCGAGGGACTCTTTCCTAGAGAGAATCCCAGGGATACTAGATTTGCCATCAACTTCTTTACATCAATTGGATTGGGTGGGCTGACTGATGATTTAAGGGAACATTTGAAGAATCGACCTAAACCTGTGGCACCACCAGTTTTCCTCAAGGGGGAGGGAGCTTCCTCCTCCTCTTCGGAAGAGGAGTCGAGCTCTTCTGATAGTTCGAGTTCTTCATCTGATAGTTCGGGTAAGACATATCTCTGTGTACTTGAAAAAAGATAATGCAAATGAGTAATTTTATTTATTTTTTTCTCTCTTTTTCCATTTTATCCTACAGACTCTTCCTCTACGTCATCAACTTCATCGTCGTCATCATCATCTTCTGAAGAGGACAAAAGGAAGAAGAAAAGAGTGATGAGAAAAGAACGGCAAGAGAAGCAGAGAAATAAGTATAAAAATGAAAAGGAGCAGAAGAGAGACGAAAAAAGACAGAAGAAGAAGAAAGCTCGAAAATAATGCAATTTAATGTGTGAAAACATGAATAACTTTATAATTATATGAAAATAAAATAATTGAATTAAACTATTAATATTTTCTTACTTTTAGCTGACTTTTAGTTTGCTCTACCTCCATTAAATTTTTCAAGTTCTCCTACTCGCCCCCGCCACATATCTGCAGCGCTCCAAGCTGACAGAAAGCGAGTTGGCGAGTCGTGGCAAAACAAAAATCAGCTGGTTACCAACTCTAAGCTTGTCAAAATTGTTTATCATCTTACACATCACATTTCCGAAACTATTGTTCATATAATAAATTACATTCACTGAATCTACTTTAATAAAAGAAAAAAAATTCAACTTCAATACTCTCCTTCTATTCAAGTATCAATATAAAAAATGGTAAGACATATAGAAATAGAAAGTATAATAATATGATTACGTATGAAATTATATCAAGAGGTTAGAAACTTGAAAAGTTTGAGTACACTTGATATTTTTCCTGTTACAGTTTTCGTTTAACATGTTCCCGGATATTCCGAGACCCTTCAACACTCAGTACAAATGCTTTTCGGTGTCAATGCTACCCGGAAATGAGCGACAGGACGTTGAACGAGGAGGCAAAAGTACCAATACAATCGATATACCTTACAATATCTCATTTGTGCATGATGCCAATCGTCATTATTAATTATTTATAACTTGGTTTCAGTTATAATGCCACCATCAGCACTGGATCAATTGACGAGATTGAACATTGTTTATCCCATGCTATTCAAATTAACAAATAAGAAGACAAATCGAGTGACTCACTGTGGAGTCCTGGAATTTGTTGCAGATGAGGGCAAGGTTTACCTTCCTTACTGGGTAAAGCCTGTAAAATTGTTAGCATTTGAAAGAGTGAAAAATTTCTTAAAAATAATTTTTGAACTATCAATTCCTTCCAGATGATGCACAATCTGCTTCTTGAAGAAAGTGAAATGATTAACATCGAAAGTGTCTCCCTACCAGTGGCCACATTCTCTCGTTTTCAACCACAATCAGAAGACTTTCTCGATATAACAAATCCCAAAGCAGTCCTCGAGAATGGCCTCCGTAGTTTCGCATGTCTCACCACTGGAGATATTATTGCCATCCAGTACAATCAACGAATCTACGAGATGTGTGTCCTGGAGACACGACCGGGCCCAGCAGTGAGCATAATCGAGTGTGATATGAACGTTGAATTCGCTCCACCAGTTGGATACAAAGAGCCAGTTCGTGAAATTAAAAAGGAAGAGGAGAACATTGATCCTGTGGATATGATGCCAGAGGCGACTGGCTTCATTGCATTCAAAGGTCAGGGCAATCGTTTGGATGGTAAGAAGAGAAAAGACTCTGGACCTTATGAAACTGATATTCAGAAGCCTGTTTATGTCAGGGGCATTCCTGATTATGATTATAAAATTGGTACAATCAAGTTTCTACGCAATGTTAAACCAGTTAATGTTAAAGAGGTGAGTGTAATATTATAGACTATTTTTATGTATTTTCAAGTCGGGCCCCATCTCCATAAAACCATTCCCTTTTGTAATTTATCTTATATTCTTAGGAAAAACTAACTGAGGAGTTCAAGGCATTCACAGGTGAAGGTTTCTCTCTCCGTAAGTCAAGAAAATAAATCGTAAATCCATCATTTTCAATTCTATAAAACTGTAGAAATGTTTATTGTATATGGAGAATAAAAATCATCATTTTTACATTAAAAACTAAACAAAAAAAATCCTATTACTATGTGACTATTTAATGAGTATATGTAATGATTGATAAAACTAAAGTGAATGATCTCCTTACATTTTAAAGCGGAAATATCAATGTATATAGTAGATGAAAAAAAAGTGATGATCTCGCAGTACTTAAATTATCACAAAATTTTCGTTTTCGTCAACCATTTTGATAATTTAATCGACGAGTGGTCCCCAAAAGTGTTTGCTGGGTTTGTTATGGTCTTTAGAGATGAAGAAGTCTCGTCCAAGTGATACAAATTCATCCAGGGTGATTTTTCCATCCTCATTGGTATCGATGAATGTGAAGGAAACAACTGCATGATCGTTTTCCAGGTCAAGGCATCGGAAAAAGAGTTTAAACTCTTCAACTGTTATTACGCCGTTATGGTCATGATCAACAGCCTGAAAACACAAAGAAACAAATGAGTTTATTACTAGAATGAAAGAAATTTTTAGTTGAAATTCTATCCTTGCTCGAGAGGATATCAACGAAAATATTTACCTTGAATAAATAGGGCAGGAAATTATGACACTTTCTCTTCAGAGAGCAGTCATTCACCACATGATGCATCTCCTCCAAATACTGTTCAATACCAACGAGATTGTATGGACTTATTTCGCCCCATTGTTCTTCCCACATGTCCTGTAATCAAGTCATTGAGTGATTACATCGATATTGCTGTGTATTACTATTATTATTATACTTATAGTTGGTAAACAAAGGGTTTGTAGAAATATTGCAAAGTCTTGAAGTTTTCTCCTGAATGCAGTCATGAATTTTTAATTTCTAATTCTTGCATCTTTTATAACTATATTATTTTAATGTAATTTAACTTACACTCAAAACTTTTTGGAATTCTTTCTTGGCATCTGGTGTCAAATGACCCAAATCGGCGAATCTCTCGGCCAATAGCATAAAATCTTCATAACTGATAACACCGTCCTTATTCACATCCAAATGGCTGTGGAGAGTTCGCATCTTCCTCCGCCAGAATGGAGAAGAACCCTGATTAAAAAAAAAACCAGCAGCAAATGATTTTTACCCGCATCAATAACGCACACAATTATTTGCATAATCGACGGAAATTGGGTGAAGGTTGATAATACTATCATTACGTGTATAATAATAACTTCTTAATCTCCAATAATGTTGTTTACAGAATATTCAACAATAAAATGAGAAAATTCCAACAAATTTGAAAATAATTAAGTACTCTGCAAAATTTGTGTGAAATCAATTTGTTTTATTGTTTTGTGTCATAAATCACCGTTTCGCTCCGAATTAAGGTCAGGGAATTCGATTATCTCGTTTTTTCGTTATTCCTCCCTTTTTTTATTTCCAAAAACCGGTTCAAAGTCCTTGAATGGATCCAAAAAAGAAAAATCAATTCTACGTATTCGTAAAAAGGGGCGAGCGCATGTAGTGGATTCAGAATAATGGATAATCGAATTTGAATAATGTCTACGTATGCGAGTGTATAAATTATTATTATTATACAACGTATAAAAGGGGACATACCTTGGATTCGGTATCGGAGTCACTGTCGCTGTCACTCTCCACTTCAACAGATGCAGATGCCTGTGGCCTGTGGTGAACATTTCTCTTGCCCGACATTGTCCTCGCAAACTGCAGAAGCGAAAGATTTAAAAAATAGAAGGAAATCCATTCTACTGAGATCAGTAGAATGGGTTTCCATTAATTTCACAGCTTCTTCATGAAATTTTTCTCAATTAAAATTCAGAAGCAAAGTGGTAAAATATAATGCCTGATTTTTGGAAGAATATCAAGACAACCAATATCTGAGAAATAACTCAATCTAAATAGATATTTTCTCGCTTATCACTCCAAATTAAGTTTTATCTCTATCACTAGAAACATGAACTTGTTTTGAAGCTCGACTGAAAAGAGAATGCCTAAGATTTTCATCGAGTTCATGGTAGTTCGTTCACCTCCAACATACAACGCAATACTTTTTCTTTTGAGCAAAAACAAGTTTGCTCAAAAGAAATTAACTATAAAATGTTTATTTGAATTTATCTCTGTTATTGTTATTGACTATCGTGCTATATGAATTTATAAATTTGATCAAGACAAATGTAATTGCCTTCAAGTTTGCGTTTGGAAATTGCGTTGTATACTTCTAAGGCCGTTAGAATTCATGGGGGATAGGGGCCTTTTTATATGACGTCACAGGCTTTCGCAAACAAGGCCCAGAACGTGTGGGCAAAGAGGATTTGTTTTTTTTTTTTCAGTGGATATCGGTTACCTTGGGCTCAATTTCGATCAAACGCATTTATTATAACAATATAATAATTATCTGAAAGTCATGAAGTTCATTTAATTAGAAATATTAAACGGAAAACACTGTTACTATGCGCGAAGGAGAAAAAAAACGAAGAGCAATAGATATTGAATTTTTTTCCTACGCCTTTTACGAATGAAATAAAGGAGGAGTGATAGCCCTTTTTCAAGACCGTTAAGCGAGGAGAAGACAGTTTTCAATGTATGCCATCAGTGTATTTACCTCATATTTTTGCCGAGTATCCATCTTTTCTACTCCCAATAATGTATTGGTGATAGCGGGAATGATTCTTCTTTCAAAATTCACCCCCTTCGACCCCGTCGCTCGCAATCCCATCCTCAGCAATGCCGTCGCCATTTGTTCGATTTCACGTTGAATTTCAAATTTATACTAAACATAAACATCGAGTTGGGCCTTTTTGTAGGAGCGTGCAGCGCGTCCCCCCACTCGCGATCACCGTTGTCTTGTGCGCATGTGTAGTACCCTCGCTCTTATTTTGCTTGTTTATTTTTTCA